CACCTTTGTCTCTCATTCACCGCCTACCACCCGGCAGGTAAAACAATACGTTTTACATAAGTGACATGATTAGTTCAGATTTATAAGATGTCGGGCAAAAGTGGTTTGTACTAACGCTTGTGTCGCCGCCCAAGGCGGCTGGCTCTGATAAGCTGTACAACGCCCAGAGGGACGCTACAAACACGGATGTTTACCTGCTGCCCAAGAAGATGGGTAAGACTATTTGCCAGTCCAGAATTTGCTAAGGAATTAATCAGACTTATGTATACAAAAATACTTCAAACTCGCAGCAAGATATCACGCCAGCAAGATATCACGCCAGCAAGATCTAAAATACCCTGTTTGGTACTTAAGTAGCCACCAAGCAGGAAGTCATTCCAGGGAGGTTGTTTCTTCCCCAGCAGAGAGCCTGCAGGCACACTGCGTTTATCTCTATAGACAACACAGTCAGTCTCATCTGTTCAGTCTGTGGATAGCTTATCAGTCACAGTAGAATGAGTCTGTGTGTGTGCAGCATGTCTGCAGTGCTGCCTGTCACTTCTCTTAGTGTCCACTCTGTGACTTAAAGCAGAGTGCACACACAGCAAATAAAAGCAGAGAGACAAATGTAGGTCAGTGTGGGCTGCTGCTGCTGCCACTGCACACACTGATGATTGACGCAAGGAAAGGAAGGAAGTATGATGAGAAGGGAGATAGTAGACAGTGCAAGAGAAATTAGATGGTACATCGGAGAGCTTCCCTCATTGGAACGATGGATCAGCCACAGTTGCCTGGTCTTGTTAACATGCTTATTTTCTCTTTTGCTTTGCAGATGAGTATGTGGCCAGCCTACATCTCCCCACGTTCGACGCACATCTCACAGAGCTGAGTGACGAGCAGGCCAAGTACCTGGGCTTGAACAAGAACGGGCCCTTCAAGCCAAACTACTATAGGTAAGGAAACACTTCAACACTTGACAACAATCTTATTTTCAAAGGACTTTAGGTGCTATATACAACGGTCTTAAGAAGCATTGTATGTTATATAAAAAAATTGAAGCCAAAAACTCAGAATTTCCCAGATAAAATGTATATAAAAAAAAATTGCAAGATGAAACTCAGAAATGTAGTGAAAATATCATTGAAAATAGTGTACTCATTTGTTGTTTTTTTTATTATTTAATAACATCTATATTCTAAAATCAATTAAAAGTTTGCTCTCAAATATTTATGACTTAAATCTTGAGAAAAATCTGATTTTTTTTCCTCAGATTATTAACCGCTACCCGTGCTCCGTAATTTAATTATTTTGTACCTACTTTGTGCCGAGATTCAAGAGTCAGGTCAAGATCAAATCCTTTAAAGGAAGAGACCGTAACTCGTCAATCCTGCATGTACAGTGCTTGGATACGTTTTCACCTCTTATATTTAAGTCAACTATCATCCTAACGTTTGTGCTTTCTGTTTTTCTCCCAAAGGTATTAAACCAGTGTCGGCGTTTGACTGAAGAAATACAAATACTCCATGATTGGCACAGACTCAAAGAGGGGGAGGAGGAGGAAGACAGAAGGAACGACAGTCAACACACCTGCTTTATGTTATGGGGGGGGAGGTTGGGGAGGAGCTCTGACTGAGAGGGGGCGGGGCTTATCTTGCGGTTATGGCAGCCGTTTTATTTATTCACGCTCAACAACAATAATGATAACTCTAAATCTGTGGAGCTGCTCCTGCCATTAGCCGTTAGCTAGCTCCGCGACGTCTTCTTCCGGACGATGTTTTACTTCCTTTTTCACCACAATTATCTCTTTCTCTTTAATCACTCATTTGTATGTCGACTTGTATGTAAATCCTCCTTCCCATTGCCAGATCTTTTATTGTTTAACTATTAAAGATGAAATTATTGATGCTAAAAAGATATATACTATATAAAAAGAAAATTTGATTTAAGAAAAGAAATCTGTGTGAATGAAGGCCGTTGAAGATTCAGTGACGGACACTTTTTTTCCTGTCTGTTCTTTTCTACCTGTGATTTAGTTTTTCTCTTGTGTAACATTGAGAGGGCGGGGTTTAGACCTAGTGGGCGGGGATTAGGCGGGATCTCAGGGTCCAATCATATCATGACTTTTATTTGATCATTCTCATTGAGATTCACCGTTGTGTCTGTTTTTAAACATTTTTTTATGCGTGTCCGATCAGCCTGTAGTTGTCAGACCTTTTGTCTTAGTACGACTGGACGGGGTCTTCCCACCTGTCACTCAAAGCCACAGTGAAAACATCTCATTGGCTGCTTCTTTCTCGGATTCCAGCTGCTCACACAGCGACTGTGTTGAAGTATTTCCAGCTTGTGAGAGATAAACCTTTTCATTTAGCCTCTTTCTTTACCAAGAATGACTATACTGTATTAGAAGCATGGCAGGTTGTCAGACCATTACATACTGTATATTTAGATATTTATATTGAAACATTTTCTATCCTTTTCTCTCCCGTGCCACCTCATATCATATGTCGTAAAGATAAGCAATTAAGTGTTCTGATGATAAGTGTAATAAATGTATTTAAGCCCTCACTTTGAATACTGTGACAGAAAATATTTAAAGAGAAACCAAATTAGCAGCAAGTTGCTGCCTGGCCGGTACTCAAACAGATCTTCAATCAGGTCCTCAAAGAAAAATATGTTTGTTTTTTTATCATCCACACCACAACTCTTTGGTACTCACCGAAAAAGTTCATTTTAAAAAGTAAGATCTGGGAAATAATCTCTTTTCATCCAAGAAGCACATTTACCCTTGCTGTACGTGCGTTTGCCTGTAAACGATTATTTCCCACTTTTCTTTCTTTCTTTTTTTAAGTTCTCAAAACTCGGCTTGCTAGCCTTGAAATATTTAATTTCTTTTTCCCCTCCTGAAAGACTTAGATTCTCTCCAGCTGACCTGACGGTGCAAATTAGAAAGTCCTGACAGTCAAGTGTACCCCGCCCGCCGCAATACTGGCTCTGCACCTGAACCCATCAGGTCCTCTGCTAACCTGCTGAGAGACGCTGCCACCATTACTCTCACAGAGAGGGATCACATGCTTAAACACACATACAGTAGCTCATTATCCAGGTCTTTGATCATCTTACACATTTTGAATAAGAGGAAATAGCACAAAGGTTTTTTATTTACCAGTTTAGCTCATTCAGACTAAGAATATGCACAATTAATAAAATGTAATTGCTGTGTAACAATGACTAGTATCTTTACAAACTATTTAACATCAACCAAAGTCTTTAAAGGACTATTTTGGCAATTTTTAAAAATATTTGTATTTGCTTTTGTGCAGAGTTGAGAAAATGTATAGCGCTCATGTTACTGTAGCCAGCAGCTACTTAGCTAATGTTAACATGAAGGTTAAAAAGCAAAAATGTCCGACTACAAGCGCCTCTGAAAGTTACGTTTTCATAAAATAAAATAAACATAAGTGTGTGAGCTTTCAAGGTGCTTGTATCTAGATTGTTAACTTTGGACAAAGCCACGCTAGCTGTTTTCCATCATTTCCCATCTTCGGCTAGCCACAGCTACAATGTTGGCATACAGATAAGGGTAGGATTGATCTTATTATGCAAGTCTCAACAAGAAAGTCAATAACAGTATTTCCCAAATGTCAAGCTATTCCTAATTAATTTGGCAAAAGCAAAATAACGTATATAAAAAAGATATACATTTATAGGCACGTAGTAACGTACGCCCCAAGATCCTACACTGTCACAGCAGACAACCTCATTATCACAAAGTCTGTGCATTAATGTCTCCTTGTGCAGTTGAGAATCCCTTCTTATAGTAGTGCGACCTGTGCTCTTAAACCTGTTGTCTTACTTTTCCTTTTTGAATGTGTGTTTAAGAGTATAACATCTGGAGAGAAAGCTGAGGTGATTATAGATGATGACGTGTGTGTCTTAATGTCTTTCTGTATTTGAACAATTTTTTTTTTTTTTTGTCGTCCACAATTGCTTTTCGTTAACAGCTGCCTCAGGATCCTAGCCTGTGCGTTATGGGGAGAAAGCTTTTGTTTTGTTTTGTCGTACGGGTGGGCGGGGGAAGACACCAGCATCGTATCTGTATATAAACACTATATACAGATATGACAACCTTTAAAAGTATAGGAAGGTAAAAGAAGAATCCACTCCTGTATTTATTGTTGTAAATCCTAATACAGTGCAAACTGGCAAATTCTCAAACATGTTTTAAGTTGTTGAATAAATTAAAAAAAAACTATGTTTAAATATTGCAAGTGATAATGGTAGATGAGCAATAATTTAAAACATTCTGTAATCTTATTGAATAAAGATGTTAAAAAAAACTGTAACCTCTTTGTGTGCATCTCCTTGATTCGACTGGTGTCAACACATAATCACCCACTTATGTAGGTGTTTGTGTTTCTTTGCATTCTCTGATTTCTCAGTATACTGTTCATGTGTGTTGGGGGAAGGGGTGCAGCTGCTGAGGTCTGTCCGAGCCACAGTGATGTCATCTGAGCCAGGAGCCAACACACAGGGACGTCTCCGACATCAACAGCTGGCTGTGAGCCTTTTATTTATTCTTGACACACAGATCAACACAATAAAATCAGCCCATTGTGCCCTGAAAGGGAAATGTTTAACATATAGGAAGAATATACGTTGGAATGAAAAGTGAGTTTTTATTATACTATATTAAGTATTTTGGCTCGGTACTTTATACAACGGTTCTAAAAAGCATTGTATGTTATATAAAACTATAGTTACGTCTGTAACTACGGTTCTATGAGTCCCGGATGACCGCCAGAGGCGGTGCTTTTAGCACTGGATATGTCCATCGCGTGCAATAAAGTCACCTGTGACACCGGCTATATCAGCTGGTGTCATCAGAGGATCTGTTCCCAGAATCTTCTCGCGAGCACACAAGGATTCTGAGTGACAGGAAACTCTGGCGGTCATCCGGGACTCATAGAACCGTAGTTACAGACGTAACTATCGTTCTATTTCGTCCCTACTGACCGCCAGAGGCGGTGCTTTTAGCACTGGATGACTTATACCAACCATGTCATGAAGAAACCAAATACTCACCTAGCTGGAAGCAGCGGAGCTTGGCAACAGGACCACGAGTTCCACCTAAGGCATGTATCGCTCACGGAGAGGGCATGCAACTCCCCAACTCGCTTCCCTGAGGTTATGGCAAGCAGAAATGCTGCCTTCAGGGACAGCCACTTAAGCCCGACCTGGGCCAGGGGCTCGAAGGGAGGAGATCCAGCACTAGGGGCAGGTCCCAAGCCGGGGCCCTTGGGGTGCTAGGGGGACGCTGCCGTAGAGCCCCTCTTAGAAAGAGGGACACCTACCGTTAGCGCCCCACTGTGGCGCCATCGACTCAGACATGTCGGGCAGAGATAGCAGCCATATACATCTTCAAAGTGAAGTGAGAACGTCCACTATCCAGAAGGGACTGCAGGAACTCTAAAACGGTGGCCACGGAGCAATGTCCCGGATTCTCAGCCTTACTGAAACACCGATGGGAGAAGAGCTTCCATTTCCACTCATACTGTGCTCGAGTGGACGGAGCTCTGGCATTCAGGATAGTTTCCCTGACAGATGCCGTGAAACCGCTCAACAGTGGGTTGGGCCCCGCAGAGGCCAAGCCCAGAGCTGAAGGCGGTGAGGGTCGGGATGCCAAATCTGACCCTTGAGGTGTGACAGAAGGTCCTTCCTGTTGGGGAGACGCCATGGTGGGCTGCAGCAGTGACTGCGCAGCAGTGGGAACCAGACTCTCCCCGGCCAGCGGGGGGCGACAAGAAGGAACCTGTGTCCCTGAGTAAGGACCCTCTGAAGCGTCTGAAGTATCAGAGGCAGCGGCGGGAAGGCATACAGGAGAATGTCCGGCCAGTCGTGCGTCAGGGCGTCCTGACCCATCGGGCTGGTCAACTCTGTCCAGGAGAACCAGAGGGGGCAGTGCCTCGACTCTCCCGAGGCAAAGAGGTCCACCTTGGCCCTGCCGAAAAGGCTCCAGATTGTCTCCACCACTTCTGGGTGAAGCCTCCACTCCCCTGGTGGAGGTTTGTGCCGAGAGAGGAAATCTTCCTCCTGATTTTGGTCTCCTGGCAGAAAGACTGCTCGCAGGCTGGCCAAGCGGGGAGACGCCCAAGACAAGAGGCTCTGTGAAACCCGGAGCAGCTGTGCGGACCTGGTGGTTGATCTGGGACAAGCGGACATGTTGTCCGAACGAACAAGCACATGCCTGTCCGTCAGTTGGGGTAAAAAGTGCCTGAGCGCAAGCAGCACAGCGCGAAGCTCTAGCACGTTGATGTGATATGCACCCTCCTGGGCGGACCACAGACCCTGAACAGTCCTGCCCTGCCCTGCCCTGCCACGCCGCACCCCACCCTGAGAGACATGCATCTACAGTGACAGTCTTCCGGCGGGATGGGATGGCGCCCATGGGCACGCCCATCAGAAGATAGGCCCTGTTTCTTCAGCGTGACAGAGAGTGAAAGCACTGGTGCGACACCCTGAGAATTACGTGGTGGGACGAACGAGTGTGTGGTGTGTGTGTGTGTGTGTGTGTGGAAACCAACGGCGTGGAGAGTACTTCCTACGGTACAGTGATCGTCGGAAGCGATTGGAGGTAGATAGTTGATACGTGTGTGTGTCGTCCGTGTGCGTGTGTGTCGTGTGTGTGTGTGTGTGTGTTGTGTGTGTGTGTGTGTGTGTGTGTGTGTGTGTGCTCCCTCCCTTGTGTTGTAGTGTGTGTTTACGGAGGGCTCTCGCTGCGGAAGGGTGAGGATTGATTGTGGACCGCAGGGTGCAGCGTCAGACAGCTACAGCGAGTAAACAACGTAGTTCAGGGCGAGAGTCAGCGCAGCCCGGTTGACAGGAAGATATCAGGGACAAGGGAGTCAGGACAGAAGGACAGGAGGTCCAGACACGTCGGAGGTCAGAGGAGATCGTGGTGTCAAACGTCGAGAGGTCAGGGTAGCGTCCGGATGTACCGAGGGAGATGCGATCCGCGGAAGAACGCCGTATCGGGACGGGAATCAGTGGGAGTGACGGAGGAGGAAATCGTCCTAATGTACTGCCTCGTCAGAGCCGGTACAGTACGACCTCTCTGTGGTCCGGGAGAGGGCGAAGTATCGAGACTAGCGCGCCTGGGACCGACGGTACGTCTTAGGCCGCTCCCAACTGACCCCTAGCGTACGGTGGGTAACTCGGACGATTAGTCGGAGGGACTAAAACCAGGACTACTCCGAGATTCCGGACTACTGGTCCTACGTTAGTAAGGGCCATCAAGGTCACCGTCCCAGTGATCTGCTTGACAAACATTCCGATGCTGCGTCGCCGTGTGTACCTCAGCATATCCCTTGAGAGAGAGGCTGGGGTAGATTACGTACCGGCGGAGGCGGATTTGACGTTCGTCCGAACCGACTCGGAAGAGAAACGATCCGGAGTCACCTTAGGAGTGACGTCCGGAAGACGGGATTACTGATCCTTAACCTGCTTCAATACAGGGATGACCACGTCTGAGATTGCTCCCGCGCCCCCCCCGATCCGGAACTTCAGGGCCACGGGCCAGCAGCGGACGATAAGGGTCGTCGTTGAGTCGATGACCGCGACGGGACATGAAAGGCTGGGTAATCCACCAAAGGTGGGATATGGTCCTATTTTAACGTCAAGACCTGCGGCGGGACGGAAGCCGGGCCCAGTTCTACTTGCAACATCCTGGTGCCGTCTCCTAATCGAGACCGGGTCTTTCTTTGACCAGGCAGGAGAACCGGTTCCCGCGTTTAGCTGGGTCATCTTGGGGACAAGTCAGTCCCCCAAGATGAGCCGCATTTGAAATGACCACTCGTTCTTCAGTCGCTAAGAGGTCATGACCTGGGAGTCTCCTTAGTTGTCTAAAGACTTCCACGAGGAGAAAGGTTGTACGCTGGTTGTCGTCTGTGGGAGGCACAACATGTGTGTCCACCTTCACAAAGTGTTGGCATCCTGAACTCCTGCTCTCGGATGAAGTTGTGCACGGCTAACCAGGGTGTGGTCTTCAAGGACTTCCAAACGGAAAGTCCTGGTCGTAATAGTCAAGTCCCATGAAGGAAGCCAGAGAGGGAGCGAGGTTCCTCACGATATTGGTCTCCAGCACCGCTCCGTCGTGAGCTTGGGGACGTTGTGTCCTCGTACTTCTCAGACGGCATGGTGATCTGCGTGACCGACCAAAGACGCGGCATGGCCAAGGTTCACCTGGGTCCTATGCTGGCGGTAGGAATAAAGTGCATGGCCAACCTCTGGACTGTCATTTGTGCCTTTCTCGACGGGACCTAGGGAGGGTTGGACCAGTTGAATGTGACCCCAACCAGGATTCTAAGGCCAAGCGGTACTCCCGGATTGGACTGTGGGAGCAGCACACCCTGCTTAAAGGGTGGAGAGGGTAGGAAGTCCGTCCGTTCTCACACAAATGTAAGGCAAGGAGGCCGAGAACCCGGTCTGACTGACGACGGAGTCGCAACACGGGAATTCCGGACGAACAGCGACCGCGTCGGAACGTCTACAGCCCGACTTGTCGGAAGTGAACCTGCGGTTCAGCGTGTCCGTNGGAGGCGTCCTCCACACCCTGCAGAGAGCCCTGAGCAGAGGAGTGGGAAGCCTCCCCGGGAGTGAGCGGGGCCTTGTCGTCCACCTCTTCATTGAAGAGGTTAGCCGAGGCTGCTAGTGACATGGCATCCTCATGCAGAGGTGCGGCAACCAAAGGAGGGGCAGGCGGCAAGCCAGCAGCCCCTATACCGGCCACTGGCGGAAGGGCTAAGAGGAGCGACTTCATCATGTCGATGTCTGCGGCTAAACGATCCACCTTAGAGGACAGCCTGTTTCTAGTCCTCCTTTTGGGGGGCGAACCCGTAGCCATCGCTCCCTCGGGTCGCCGGGAACGGCCGAACTGAGCTGGGGGAAGATGCGACAAGAAGAGGTGTCCGTTGGCTGCTGCCAGATGCTCCACCTCTGCGACTCTGGCCGCTCTGAGCGCCCAAGTCATGCAGCTACAGTTCATGCAGGCGTCCTGCGCGAGACCCTCCATCAAATGCTCGAGACCAAGGCAGGAGGGGCAGCGGTCGTGGCCGTCCTCGGGCTCGAGAGAAGCCATACAGGCGCTACATGGATGAGCCATCATGTAGGTAGCCGGATGCAGCGTAACCGGGAGCGGGTTGCGAGAACACAGCCTTCATCAGTTAGCTGCTGAACGGAAGGAGTAGAGCCCTGCTCCTACTCGCCGAACACGAGAGGGGTGTAATGTCCTACACCCGCGTTACTAGCAGAGGGAGCGGGGAGCGAGAGCACTGCCTTCACCTAGCTGAGTAAACGAAAGCGCAAAGCTACTAGCAGAGGGAGCGGGGAGCGAGAGCACTGCCTTCACCTAGCTGAGTAAACGAAAGCGCAAAGCTACTAGCAGAGGGAGCGGGGAGCAAGAGCGCTGCCTTCAACTAGCTGAGTAAACAAACGCGTAAAGCTACTAGCAGAGGGAGCGGGAGCACTGCCTTCACCTAGCTGAGTAAACAAAGCACAGAGCTACCAAATAAGGAAGCTTAACAGGGCAGCTAGCCAGCCGGCTGCTGCTCACAGTCAAGAAACACTCTTACCAGGAGCAGGAGTGAAAACACTGCCTTGAGTAAAATAGCGAAACACAAGCTAAGGAAACTGGCTTCTAAAGAAAAAACAGCACGGGTAATCCGGTGCTTACCTCAAGCGTCAGCCAAAGTGGCTGACCGGGCAGGACCCAGGACACGACAAAAGCTGGAACTCAAGATGCTAATGATAGCTTGGCGCAACGCTGCGCTATCAGGAAAGTACAGAGAGCGCAACAAGGGCAACTCCTGGGAGAGGGGGCGGAAACGCTGCTGTCACAAGAAAGTTCAAGCCAGGTAGCAACCAAGACAGAAATCAGGACAACCTAGCTGGGAGAGGGAGTGGAAACACTGCCGTCACCGACCAAGCCGACACCAACCTGTCCGTTGAAGTTTTCTGCGCAGCCGGCCACAGCTCCTGGAGGACGGGTAACCCCGCGGCTCCGACTGGATCAGTCCCGAAGCTGCACGCAGCCAGCTGGATGCAGAGAAATCAAAACGTTCCAACTGAACGCTGTAGGCTACAATATTGTAGCCACGGTACCCTCGCGCAGCGAGAAGATGAAAAGAACAGATCCTCTGATGACACCAGCTGATATAGCCGGTGTCACGTGGGTCACAGGTGACTTTGTTGTTATTGGTACTCGTACGGCGCATGCGCACGATGGATATATCCAGTGCTAAAAGCACCGCCTCTGGCGGTCAGTAGGGACGAAATAGAACTTAAACAAATGAAATATGTATTACCTAAATCTTGAGATTCTCAGATTATTACTCTACCCTTTCTCCATACTTTAATGATTGTTTACCTACTATGTGCTGACATGGGTTCAAGATGGGTTTTTATCTTCAAAAGGGACTTTTACTCTAGGGGAGAGTGGGGTAAGTTGAGCCATTTTTTTGTTATGCTGTTTTCTAAGCAAGGAGAAATGACACATAGTAAAAATGAAAACACACACCTATAATTCAGGATGTCTCCTATCAATGGCAATGATAATAATTAATATTTGATCAAGGGCAGTGAAAATATTACTTCTTAAAAAAAGTAACAACTTACCCCAGTTTAGGGGTAAGTTGATCCAGGTCAGGGGGTAAATTGAACCACTGTTCAAACCTGGGCATACCTGTTCAAACCTGGGCATACCTACAACAAATCTTAAAGGTAACTATAAACAATAAATAGCAAACCAAATACAAGCTTAGTTTTTCAAATATTTTTAATATAAATTTCGATTGAATTGATGGATTTTTTTTTTACATGTTAAAAGGAAAAGTAATCATACAAATGGTGATACAATTTCATACATCTTACCAATCAAACACAGGGTAAATTCAACTTTAAATGTAGCCTACAATGAGCTCTTATTATCAACTTGGCCTACTTTCATTAATTTCTCCATTGAAAAACTGGCTCAACTTACCCCAAGACCCATGGTTCACTTTACCCTATAGCCACCATTTCAGAAAAAATAGCCTAGCATTAAAATTTTCTTTAGCTTAATGATTCACATGGTTTACG